TCCAGCTGCTCCAGACCACCCAGCAGCTGCCCTGGCAGATCAGACTTGCGGTGTGCTGGGTCCCACTGTTCTTCCGTTCTCTCCTCCACACTACCAGGTGGCATCTGCTGGGATTTGGAACTGTTGCCATGTCTGCAGCATTGTGCAGTCCAGGATGAAGACCTGGAGCTGTAGTTGGGGCTATGAACAGAGGATTAATTGTGCCCAAAGGGACTTACAGAGGCTTTTGGTGCTCTGTGACCGGGTCAAAATCACCTCAGGACTGAGGCACTCGGTCCTACAGGTACTGGGAAGAGTGGCTGTTGGTGGCTCTCAGCTGAGTCCCCTCCAGGAATTGTCCTTGGCCCCAGGTCATGCTCCATTTTTTGGTACCTTAGCATCCTCAGTGGCGTAGCAGTGCAGGAATCCCTTCCCTCAAGGTAGGATGTCCCAGCACCAGAGGTTACCCCCCCCCCCCCCCCCCCCCGGCACAGCTGACTGCATAGCCAACTACAGCAACCAGCTGGACAACAAGCAGACCAACCTGATGCTCCCTGAGCCCACCGTCTACGGCGACGTGGACCTCAGCAACAAGATCAACGAGATGAAGACCTTCAACAGCCCCAACCTGAAGGACGGGCGCCTCGTGGGTCCGGCGGGGCAGCCCACGCCCTACGCCACCACCCAGCTCATCCAGTCCAGCCTGGGCACCGCCAGCAACGGCGCGGAGGGCGACAAGCCCTGGAAGCCCCCGGGCCCGCAGAAGCCAGAGGCGGCGCCGGCCCAGTACAGCATCATGGAGCAGAACAAGCTCAACAAAGGTGAGCCGCTGGGCCCTCTGTGTCCTCCCTCCACTGTGGTCCCGACACGGCTGCGGCCAACCGGGAGCATCTTGTCTGTGTGGCAGAGACTTCCTTCATGTTGGTTTTGAAATGTCTCGCGTCCGAGAGCTCGTTAGCACCACAGCAGCTTTGGAGAACTCATTTTATGGTAATAGGCACGTATTTCCAATGGACTTGAGAGGCATTTAAATTTCACGGCAGGCAAGGGTTTGGGACAGACAGCCTCGTGTCTGTGAGGCTGGTCACAGCCACCATCCTGCCCGTTTCCAGCCGAGGGCCTCCCGGCCTGCCCACTTGAGGAGGGACGATAATTGCTTCTACGTGGCCATGGAAATGAATGGCGTTTTTCTATCAACCTGAAGAAAAATAATTAAATTAAACCTGAACTGGAGGGGTGGCTCAGTTCCTTGCGTTTCTCCTACCTGGCGTGATTTTTAAGACTGCGACAATGTGTCATTTCAGAACCTAAATTCCTTTGCTTGACCCAGTTGAAGTCTGTCCATTTTAAACCTGAAATAAGTTGAGTTTAGTATTAACTTGAAGCTGTGCAGTGGTGTCCCGTGGCCTGAGGGAGTGTTTCTCTGTTGCAGTGTGTTGTGAGTCGGAAAAAGATGGGCCTGTGGTTTCTTAGCAGTCCTTCAGGCTGTTGCCTTAATAACATGATTTGCAAAGTTACGCTGCTAGGAGAAAAAGGGATTGCTCTAATTTGAATAGATGGGGCAATGTTGCACAGGCGTCCAGTAAAGAGTACATTTTGGGGTAGGTAATTAGAGGCATTCGTTTTCTTTAGGCTTGAGTTGGGGCATGTTCTTCAAAAATAAAGCTCATTACCGTTGGAGAGTACAAAAATATAAATTGCACTTAATTAAGTTAATGTTATGCGGTTTAACTTGATAATAAAATGATCCAGCCTCTTCCTAAGTTTGAGAAGCTAGTTGATTGGTGTAATAGCCCAACTTGATAAATATTTATTAAGACTCCTGCAAAGTTTATGGCAAAGACGGACTAAGATGACTAGGACAGTTTCTGTAATCATAGAGTCTGCGGTGGTTATTCACACCCCTGTCACATTATTCCTCCATGGTGTGTGTTTCACCGTGGACTTCAGAGTGCTCTGACAGCCTCCGTACAGATATTTCAGACCTCTGATTTATTGTCTATACTGCTTGTGAGCAGATTTGGTATGTCAGACTGTAATAAAGAGCCCAGAATGGAGCGAGGTGACAGATTATCACTGACTGCATTCCAGTGGCAAGCTTGTTATTTGGGTTTTCGCCTTTGCCCAAGTAAACAGAAGCATTTCTGAGGCAGATTAAGATATCTTGTTTTCTTACCATGAAAATATGTTTTATTAGACGTAACAAACTTGCTGGCAAGTTTATTTCCTATTTTTAGTGTACTTTATTTTTCATGATTTGCAGACATGGTATTTTTGTGATTTCTTATTGTTAAAATTATTTGGTTACTGTATTGAAGTTTTATATGTGTGCATGTATATATGAGGGGGACACACACACAAAAATTGGGAATTTGTTTATAAAAAATTGCTTATTCCTAGATATTTAAACTTCAGTCATCTTCAAAGACCTCTCCATCTGATGTAATACACCCGTCGAGATGCTTTTTGCACTGCTTGAAGCAGTTTTTGGACGTGTCCACTTTGATGCCTTCTAATGCTTCTGCCATTTTTGGTTTCACCTCTCGGCAAAATGTTTTCCTTTGAGGACTTTTTTCCTCCAGGAAACAAACCAAAAAACAGTCGCTTGGGGTGAGAGCAGGTGAAGAGGGAGGGTGTGGCTACGGGTCATGCTGTTTTTGGTCAAAAGCTTCGGAACACTCAGTGCATTGTGGACAGATGCACTTGTAAATCACCCATCATGAAATGGACACACATGTTGACAGAATCTGCAAAAAAAAAAAAAAAAAATTACCTGAAGCCGAACAGAGCTTCCCACAACAATGCTGGTACACAGATGCTGATGGCTTCCTAAAACACTCACCTAGCGGGGGAAGCCTATGTATTCATTTGTAGTGCAAGCATTTGTAAATCCTGACAACTGAATACAAAAATAAGGAGAAAACAAGGTTGATACATGTTTCAATTAATTTATTCAGTTACTCCAAAATATAGACAATGAGAGTTGTGTCATCTTTCACAAAGGGAAGATAAACATTTCATTTTTCTTTCCGTCTGCAACATCTAGATTACCGAGCAAATGACCCGATTCCTCCGACCATCCCCTACAACCAGTCCTATGACCAGAACACTGGCGGGTCTTACAACAGCTCAGACCGAGGCAGCAGTACATCGGGTGAGTGTGGGGTGGTGCCCTCCAAGAGCACGGACTGCGTGCGATGGGCTGGGCTGGTGTACCAGACGCCATGACTGAGCCTTTCTGTAGCTTGCATCCCATGCCCGTGTCGCATCTCTGCAGCCTGAGGGACTTCCCACCCTCTGAACCAGGTTATGTCGTCCAGTATGGAGGACCAAGCGCCCTATCCTCCTCCTCCGTGGTGAACCTAGAGAAGCCAGAAGCATGCACTCATCTTCAAGGAAGTTGAAACTTCTGTCTCCCCAGCCTTGGCCAAAATAGAGTTAAGCTTGTTGCCCATGGAGTTCATCTGCTACGTATGTTGCCATTTGAAACTCCGCTGGGAAAGCACGTGACACTGGCACATGCTTGAGCAGAACCCAAGGCCTCAGGGACAGCAGCAGGCAAGCCAGGCACCAAGGCAACCCGTGCGCATTCATGATCCGTCCATGGTGCCTCCGCCCTAGCTCTGGAGCCGCGCAAAGCAGCCTCCCTGCCTCAGCCTCCACGTGCCTCCAAAGCCCACAGAGGCCCCTTCCCTGTGGCCTTCCTGCTGCCGCAGCTGTGTGCCAGCTGTTTTCCTGGTAGGGCAGCAGATGGGCGCTTGCTGGTACTTAAGTTCTGTTTTCCTAATTAAAGGCGGTTCATTATTAGAACTCACATGTGGCAAGTCACAGCACAATGAGAACAAAGCGATGGTTGTTGACTCTGGCGCGCCTCTCCAGGAGCGGGTGGACACGGCCCTCCCGGCAGCTGGATGACAGTTGTTCTTAGAGGTCTTCAGCCAAGGGCCTCCACCCTTCTCTGTCGAACATGGCATGCACATCCCAGCCTTCCCTAACCCACGTGTGGGTCTGGCGTGTCCCAGCCCGTGCCCCAACTTGAATTAAGGAGCTTCGTAAAGTCCCTTCACCTGTCCAGATCTACCCCAATTCAATTCTGCGTTGCTGGTTTTAGCAACTAGAATCTTACTCGAGGCGTTCTTTGCTTTTTTAAACAAGTCAACTCTGAGTGAGGAAGAACATTTCAGGGATGGGCTTTTGGGAAAACCACATAAAATATTTTAATATTTGATCATCTGATGCTGTTTCATTTTTGAATTCTTCATTACTTATAGAGAAAATCCTACCTTGGTGGGAAAGCCCCATGACCCAAGGCTGTGATATTCAGTCGGCCTCCTCTGTCCCCCAGCCCAGGCACTGGGTCCTGGTGTCCTGCTCCCTGGAGCTTTTGGTGTTCTGTGAGGATACAGTAAAAAGATAGATGCCAGGTCTGATGTAGTTACCGGGAGAAAAGCCTACAGGTGGAGTGGGAGGGACTTGTGCTGCCGGGCCTCTCGGGATGCGGGGGGTGTCACACAGGACGTTTGTTAGGGAGTCAGGAGAGGCCGCTGGCGAGGGTCGTGTCCATGACGCCTGGGCATCCCCGTCCCGCACAGCTGAGCCACAGGAGGGCAGCACAGGCCCAGGTCTGCCAGTCGCAGGTCACGGATGACAGCTGGCCCGGCCCATTTGGGGCAGTGACACCAAACAGAGCGGTGGGCTTAACACTCACGGCCGTGGGACGGAGAACTGCCAAGAGACGTCACAAAAGCAAGGCTGGTGTGCTGAGGCCTGCGTCACGTGCCATGTGCCCTGGAAGGGTTTCAAGCGCGGTGTTGTTGAAAATAAGGCCGGATAGCGCACTGATGTTGAAGATCTTCTGAGAAAGAGCATAGACTTGTCTGTGAGTCACATTTGAATCTAGAGTGTAACATCAGAGGGGGCTGTTTTATCCCCAAGTAGCCTTTGTCCCACAGTTTATTTTTTTTAAAGAAATACTCTAATGTTGTGCAACTGCATGTGTTTAGAGAGTATACCAGGTCCAGCATCATGACCCCAGAGTGCTTGACTCTCCAGGCTGTTCCAAGCTTTTCAGAATTTTAAGCAACATCGTTTTACTGTCAGCCCCGATTTTGTAGAAACAGTGACTGAAAACACTCTGCCCCTTTTAAAAGTCCTTTTTCTGCTTCTTTTGTCACCAGTTCTATTAGCTATTCCGGCAGTTCTTTTCATCTGCACCTTTCTGAAGAAAACCAGTAATTTCATTGTGCCTAAAACATTTCAATGGACAAGTACAAATTATATAGAGCCAGTGATTTAATGCAACAGTGGAACTCTAATAGATCGTATCTGTATCATATTGTATTTTAGGTTCCAGCAATTAAATCATAGAAAGGCACTCCAGGAAATACGTGTACAGCTCATTTGTTGGCAGTGATAATCCCTAATGCAGCTAATTGCTGTGGGGAGATCACTATTAACGATATGACTTGTCAGGCTCATTCACGGTCTTATTGCTTTTTGCTCTTCATTTTGCAGTTAAACGTGGCAGTCTTTCGCTTCTTCTTGTGTGCAAAGTTCTGTTTAAAATTAATGAAGAGAAGTGGGTTTATCTCTGCATAAGTGTGAACCATGAGATATTTACAGAAAATTGTCCACTTGGAAGTGTTAATGACAGAAAACACGGTGGAGGCCAGAAGTGAAAGGCTTGTGTTTTCTTTCCTTCGCAGGGAGCCAAGGCCACAAGAAAGGTGCCCGCACACCCAAGGTGCCTAAGCAGGGGGGCATGAGCTGGGCCGACCTGCTGCCGCCACCCCCGGCACACCCTCCCCCGCACACTGGCGGGGAGTACGGCATCCCCGGGGACGAGAGGTGAGGACTCTGGGCCGGCGTCTGCGTGGACCGCGCTCCTTAACCCATGTCGCTCGAGATCAGGCCAGGCCACCCTGAGGGGCCGGACGCCAGGGTTCACACAGGTGACCCCGGATAGACTGTGTCGGCCAGCAGGAGTGGAAAACCTGCTGGTGCTGCGGAAACCGGAATGTGCTGTGGCGGCTTCTTATGGAGCTAAGAATCGTGTGTGCTCATACACACACACACGTGTGTGTGTGTCCATACGTATGTCCACATGCATATGAAAGTATGAATATATCCATGAGCTCCTGCATATGTCATTCATGTGTGTATTTCACCCCATAGATGTGTGATTCTGTAGTGTTTGACTCTTAGGGCTTCTGTGGCACGTCTCGACATTTTCATCAAGTAGTTGTATGGACGTGCGCCACCACTGCAGTATCCTAAAGGCCGTTTGTTTTTAGACATTGTCACATTATCTGAAGAGTGTTAGTGGGGACTTCCTCTCAAGGATGCAGCAAGGTGAGCATTGCACGTGGCAGCATTTGGAGAGAGAGTGTGCCTCTTTCTTGCCTCCGCATCTGTAGAACTAGGCGTGGTGGCGCCATGCCAAAGGGCACAGCCCTTCGTGAGCACAACCCAAGGCCGGGCACTCACTGGATAAAGAATTCACCACAAGCACGAATCCACCTGAAACGCGGGCTTTCTGGTGACTGCTATAGAAACAGAGATGCTGATATTTCATTTTCCATGAAAACCCAGCATCTTACAGCTCCCAGTCGCCAGGAACGAGGTCTCTGGGCTTCCATTTTTCAATCCCTCTTTGTGAAGTGCGTTTTTAAGTAATATTTTTATACAGAAAGAATCCCCAGGGCTTCTCATCACCTGCATTGTTTTTGTTCTATAAAATGACTGCTAACACTAAACTAACAAATCGTGGCTCATCGCCCTCTGTGAAACATGGGGCTACCGTTCCTTTGAGCTTCTGGTCATAGCATCTTTGCCCCGTGCAGAGCCCCACCTATGTGTGTGTGTGGTTCAGACCAGAGGTGCCTTCCTTGTGTCTGGTGTGGGCCATCCCATGGACCTCACTGCCAGGGTGCTGAGGGTCGCCCCAAGTGAGCGTCTCACAGACGCATCTCCTCCTGAGTCCCACCCCAGTCTTCCAGGGTGAAGGGACAGGAGTCAGCACTCCAGCCCTTCTCTGGGGCCCATTTTAGACCAGGAGGTCACTAAGAAAAAGTTAAAAATTGGACAGGCGTGGCTCTCAACGGACTGACAAGGACATACGTTTACAGACAGGGGCTGACCCAAGAAAGCAGTCTCCTGGTCTTGCCTCAGCTGGGGAGGCAGACTCAGGTGGCTCAGACTTCTGGCATCTTTGCACATGTCTGGGAATGACCACAAAAGTGCCACAGACATGGATTTGGGGCTCACACATACATTTTACCGAGTCAGTGAATTTGCAGATTTGGAATCTGCACGCATGGAAGTCCGACTGTGTTGTTAAAAACCCATCTTCCAGGCTATTTTAACACAAGCAGTTGCTGTTTTAGTTCACAAAAAAGGACTAAGATAAGTAGATAAAGGTTAAAAACAACAATAAAAGCTACAGAAAATGCAGAGAATAGCGGGTCCTCACTGAGCAGAGGAAGGCTCCTGATCTGCTGGCGTTTGTTCCTCACCTGGACACACTAGCTCTCGGGGCAGAAGATGGTGACGTGGACCACACCAAGATGTAGAACCCAGAGACCAGCCAGGGGCACGCTGGAGGGTGCGAGGGGCCGGGGAAGACCCTGACGCCAGGTCGTCAGAGTCTCGAGTGTCCAGTTTATTCTCTGAGCAGTTAGAGCCGCCTCTTCTTTTGAGGAGCAAACGCACAGCCTGCAAGTGATGCTCGCAAGTCATTTTGGAAGCCAGGCTGGGAGAGCGATAAGAGAGGATTGCGGCCAGACAGCAGACACAAACGGGAGGGACTCTGGAGGGCTTCATGGACAGGCTGGAAAAAGAACCAGGGAGTCGGAGGGAGAGGAAGCTGCCCCAGACGGGTGCAGGGTTTCTGGCTGGGGCGTGTGGGCAGCTGGCTCTGCTGTGTGTGGGTCAAGGAGATGGGGCGGGAGGCGCGGAGGGAGAGCGGGCTCGGGGGGGTGGATCCAGGGAGGTCGGGGGCTGCTCCAGTGCTGCGTTCCCGACAGGTGGCCGAGAGTGGGCCGAGCGTCGCGTCGAGTCGCGTCACGCCTGTGAGTCAGCACACGAGCCCAGGGTGGGAGGGAGGCGCGGAAGCGCGGACGTCCCCGGTCCCTCCAGGCCCCGTGCTCTTGGGGATCGGGGAGTCTCCCTGGGAGGGGACCGTGCTTGCCACCCCACACCATCGGCAGCACAAGCCGCTGCCTCCGTTTTGTTCCACCGGAGAAGGTGATGGGGTGCAGTTTCAGAGGGACGGAGGCCGTGCCAGACTGAGGACGGCCTCCAGTGACCCTCTCCAGAGGGTTCTCAAGAGTGATTGTCTTCCGAGTTAAGGACCTCGTCTTCGGGTCATCGTCATGCCGTCTGTTGGGGAACATGTTGACTTGGAGAGACTCTCCCAAGTTCACTCGGGATGTGGCGAGTTAAATCCTGTCAAGGGGTGTCTGGCTGCATGGCCCTGGGACCCTGTCGCGTGCTAACACAAGTTGCAGTCTCTGAGAGAAAGAGACCGGTGGGGTCATGTGCACACCTTTGTGACCGGGAACTTTGGTTTTGACCACACCCCTGAGTGTGACCCAGGACAGCTTAGGAGAGCGACCCGACGCTGACGTTTCTCTTGCCACGCTGGGAGCTGGCGTGACCCCCGGGAGTAATTCTGCCTGTCCTGTGATTCCTCGCAGCTACGACCAGGATGTGCCATGCCCCCTGCCGCCCGCGAGGATGTACCTGCAGCAGGATGAGCTGGAGGGGGAGGAGGATGAGCGCGGCCCCACGCCCCCCGTGCGGGGGGCCGCGTCCTCCCCGGCGGCCGTGTCCTACAGTCACCAGTCCACCGCCACCCTGACGCCCTCGCCCCAGGAGGAGCTGCAGCCCATGCTGCAGGACGGCGCCGAGGAGGCCGGCCACCTGCAGCACCAGCCCGACCGCAGGTGCGTGTCCCCCACGTCGGGGCCAGCTTGCAGGGCGGGGCCCTCTCCTCGGGGTGGCTTTGGGACGCCAGCCGCAGAGTCGTCTTCGCGTCCCTGGCCCCTTCCCAGCGCCACTGCCCACGGTGGCCCGGGGCACATCCCTGCTGGCGGCACCCTCGCGTTAGACGAGCCACTCACGAGAAGCAGTGTGCACCCACGCTCCACTCGCCGTCACTGCCGGAGGTGCACGGGGACGCGCGTGTGGCCTCATGGCCACTGGATTCGCACTTCTGTTTTTCTTATGCAGGGGTAGGCCGCTTCTTCAACTGGCAGAAGTAACTTTTCTCCAATCTTTGTAAGTTCAATCGCATGGCGATGTGTTCCCTCCCAGCTGGCACGTTGCCAAGGGATGGGTTTGGTGGATCCTTGTGTTGACCTCAGTGCCTTTGTTTTGGTGGAGGCCTTAGGTTGGGGCTCTTGTGGGGTCACTCAATGCCTGTGTGTGTGCACGCGCGTGTGCACGTTCAGGCTCTTTGCAACCTGTATGTTGAGCATCCCCACCCTGTACATGTATTTCACCTGCAGCGACGGCACTTGTCACTTCGAACCCTTAAAGCCGTGACCGCGCCGTGCCAGCTCCCCTGGCACTGACGACTGTGTTTCACCATCTCATTGCCCTTGACACTGTATTCTATACGTACTGCAATCTGTATTCCTAATATCACTTGACACTGAGTATGTTACTTGCCTCAGAAGACTCCCCTTCCGTATTCTTGAATGAATAACAAATTCTGGTTCATTTGGCTTGACTTTCACTCTTGGGGATAAAACAGAGTCTGGCATGGTGCACTAGCCAGTCTGTCATCGAGAGGTCATTTTAAAACTCAAGTCCCGTGCTTTCTAATGAAGGAAGACGTCAGCCCTTCTGTCTGGCGAGGTGGGCTTGGCTCGCCACGCGCTGGAAGGCCGTGCAGCTCGCCGCAGCGCTTCCTGAGGACGGGCGCCTGTGAGGCACCGCGGTTCCTGGGTGGCCGTGAGGTCCCACCTCGTCCTCCTCTTACGCGCCTGTCCCTGCCGCCCCAGCAGCCGTCGGCCGGTGCCTTCCTCCCGGCCGCACATCTTCTGCGTCCCCGTCCCCGTCCCCGTGTCGGCCTTCCCACCTGCCCCAGAGGCAGAGACCGGCAGCCCCTGCTGGGCCCTGACTGCAGCCTCTTCCTCTCGCCCAGCCCTTCCCCTCCCCCCTCAAGTCTGCTCCCCCAGGCCTCCCTGTCCTTGGCCTCCACTCTGGTCCCTGCCTGCCTCCCTCAGCCCCTCCACGCTGGGCCCTCTGTGTCCGACTCGCAGCGCGTTGCTTCTGTGGGTCACCTGGGGACTCTCCTTATAACCAACCCCTCCCGGCTTCGCAGGCGTTCTGCAGGGGTGGCGGGTCTGTCAGTTGCAGCGAGAGGGGGGATGCTGTGGGTGAGGGGCCTGGAGGAGGCGCGCGTGGGGCAGACCCCGCCGTTCCCTGCGCATTCTCACCTTCAGTCTGTTGCTGTCGCCTGGCTCGATGATGCTTACGTCCCGACGGCTGTCGGGTTTCTGGGGCCAGCCAGGCCCCTCCTGAGGGTCACGAGGACGTCTCCACGTGGACAGTCCACAGGTCGACACCCAGACTCCTCAGCTTTGCATGTGGCTTTTCAGACTGGCCTGTTTTTCCGTGGGTGGCTCATGTAGAATTGTCAGCCATTGCCTGTTTGCCCAGTGCATCCAAAGCAAAATAGTCAGGAGGGTAGACACAAGTGCCGCAAAACCAAACAAAAGCCTGTGTCGCTTGGAAATCAGCTTGACGGTCCCCTGCTCGAGTGTCCCCGTCCCACAGACCCAGCCCTTCTCCAGGTCGCTCGTTCATGTCCCTGGCCGGCCCCCGGCTGTCCCTCAGCCTTGTCCCTCACCCGCTCCCCACTCCTCTCCCGTCCTGCCACGCCCACGCTGCCTTCCTCTTTGGGCAGGGCTGGTGGTGCCCGCTCAGAGCCCGGCCTCCCGCGTGGCGGCACTTGGAGCTCTCCCACCCTTTCCCTCCTGCCCTCCCCGCTTCCGCTCTCCAGCGAGTGGCCTGCAGTCCCTGAACTTGTCTTGAACACACGTCCATGCCGGCGTGCCACCCGCTGCGTCCCGCTGGCCTGGCAGGCATGCCCTTCCTGCCCAGCCTGCTCACGGGGCCTCCTGTGAGGCTCCTCTGGCTGCCGGCAGACCCCAGCCACCTGTTCTCCACACCACGCGAGGGTCCATTCGCATCTGCGCTCCGTGCCCCTCGGTGTCCGTGTGGCGTGAGCGTTCGCTGCCTGTGTCTGCTTCCTCCTCAAGGAGCTCGTCTGGCCGTGGGGGTCTCCATGGGGCTTTCTCCAGCAAGGCGTGGGGGGTCTGGGACCGCAAGGAACTCGGAGCTGGCCCCCGTCCACTGTACCTGTTGAACGCGAGCTAGACCCGCATCCTTGCGAACGTGTCCACTGTCTGCACCTGCCGTCGTGGGGCTGTGTCCAGCATGTTGAAAGGTGTAAAGGTGGCATGAACTTTACTTCCAGGGTCAGTGCTGGAAATAACACTGGGCACTGGCGAAAAGTAGACAAAAGCCTGGTAAAAGCTTTCAGTGCCTTTTTCTGATGAGTGTGTGCTCTGTATGTTTACTATGGGCATTTAAAAAAACGCAGATAAGCCAAGTGAAAGTCATACCCTGATCTGTGTGGTCAGACGCTGTCCCTGAAGGCCTAGGACGGATTCTTCCAGGCTTTGCTTTCTGCGTGTGACCTGTGACCTTAAAAGAGCCAAGGGAACAGGCAGAATCCTAAAACCTCTGTCATTTCGAAATCCGCTGGGTCTTCCTACCGTTCGATTTCTTCCTGCTGTTCCACAAATTAAATGATTCCCACTTCAAACTCCAGACTTCACTTCTGCCTTGGGTTTCTGACATACCAGTGTTCTCTTACGAGTTCCTCTCGGCTGAACAGCCTGTTTTTCTGTGTGGATGGCTCTCTGTTTGGACACGTGTGTGACACATGTGGGACACATGTGCTCCGGCATGGCCCCCCAGCGTCCTGTTGGGCATGTATGTTCGTGGTGCCGGCCTTCCTGCCTCCGCAGCCAGTGCTGGGTGCCGTGGTCTAGCTGAGCCGCAAGCAGAGCCTCCTGCCTGTGGCCGTGACTGCCTGCCATCCCGACGACCTCTGTCCCCTGGAGTCCTGCCGTGCCCTGCGGTGTGCACATGGGTGCAGGGGACCGTGGCCAGTGGAGCTCGTGTGGGTGCTGCAGACCCGCGGGTCCAGCCTCTCGCTCCTAAAGGTCTTCGCCGCCTGAGTTCCATTCTGAGCGACTTGCCAGTCCCGCCCTGAGTGCGCTTCCCTGGCTCCGACAGCCGTTTCTCGCGTGTCACTGTGACGCTCGCCAAGTGGCCAGCCCCGGCCGCCTCGGTCGCCCCCAGCCTCGTTCCTGCTGCAGGCCGTCTTCCTAAATTGCAGCCCTGATCAAGGCTCACCTGCTTGACGTCCTTCAGGGGAGTGACTTCCCGTTTTCTTGAAAAGGCAGGCGAGGCTCCTAATGCAGCAATCAGGGCCCTCGGGGACCCGCCCCGGGTGCCTTTGCAAGGCCCATGGCGCTTCCAGCACCCCCC